GCTCATTCGAAGTTGAAAGTGACCACAAACCCTTGGAAATGATTTGCCTCAAGAACCTAACAGCACCCCGCCCCCGACGTCAACGAATGCTATTAAGACTCCAAGAATATGACATGGTCATCAAATATCGACTGGGCAAAGAGATGCTACTGGCGGATGGACTATCCAGACTTCCTAACAAAAAGAACAAAGAAGTCATTGACTTAAACATCAAAGTAGACTTTGTGCAATTCTCATCTAAAAAATTAACTCAGATCCGTCAAGCAACTAATGCCGACCCAATATTGTGTGAATTAAGAGCACGTATTCTTCAAGGCTGGCCAGAATCTCGCAGAGAACTACATAAAGACTTTCATCCATACTGGTCTTATCGAGATGAGCTCTCTATTGAGAATGACATTTTGCTCAAAGGTGACAGGATACTGATCCCTAAATCAATGCAGCCCGAAACACTGGAAAAAATACATTATGGTCACCAAGGGAGCGAAAAATGCAAGCTCAGGGCAAAAACATGCGTTTTCTGGAGTGGCATAAATAGCGACATCGACAAGATAGTACAACAATGCGCCATATGTCAAGAACTCCAGAAGTCCCAAACTGCAAAGTCTCTAATGCCACACGAGATCCCAGTACGACCATGGCAAATCGTGGCTACTGATATTTTCAACCTTAACAGGCATAATTACCTCCTCATTGTGTATTACTACTCCAAATACCCCTTCATCCGCAAACTAAGGGAATTCTCCAGCAAGGAAGTCATTGATCTTACCAAGCAAATCTTTGCTGAACAAGGAGTCCCGAAAAGCCTTATCAGTGACAGTGGGCCACATTTTAGCTCTCAGCACTTTAAAGAATTTGCCAAGGCATGGGATTTTGAGCACATCACCTCTTCACCCAAATACCCCCAATCGAATGGCATGGCAGAGCGGTGCATACAGACAATCAAGGGAGCCATGAAGAAGGCCATACTGAGCAACTGAGATGTAGACATGAGTCTGCTGTGTCTCCGATTGACTCCAATGGATCACGTAATCCCATCCCCGGGAGAACTACTATTCAATCGGAAGCTAGTCAGTAATCTCCCCACAAAATGCACTAACAATAATGCCCGGAAAGAGGAAATTCAGGATCGCCTACTCGACAGACAGTGGTTGCAGGGAAAACAACAGGATCAACATGCAAAGGATCTCTTCAAACTTAGCACAGGACAAGTGGTGCGAGTACAAGAACAGGATACGAGGAAGTGGACTCCAGCTGTGGTCAAACATGTCTACACTGAACCACGATCATACATCATTGAAACCCCAACAGGACAGGTTTTTCGCAGAAGCCGTAGGCATCTCAAGGAAGATGTTAGCAACAAGGCACTGACGTCTCCCCATAGTACGTCCCTGCCTCACTCTGAGCCTCCACCCCTAATATTCCAAACACACCTCCTGCAGGTACACCCAACACACCCTCCAACATCTGAAACAGTTTATATAAATTTCAGTGAACTTATAATGAAAGGAGGATGTAACAAGTTACCTTCCCTGGATAGCCAGTTACTTCCTTGAATAAAAGGTCGCTTTGTTTTTTCAGGACAGAGCGCCATAACATGTCTTGTCGTTCTCTCTTGTTCTTTATTGTTATTTCTACTAACAAAGAAACAATCCCTTTTTAAGTTTAATGATTTGAAAGGCTTTCCTTATGTCGCCTAACATAACATACATGTTTGTTTTGAATTTTAACAATAACTTGATCATATTATTGATCATGTTTATTCCTGAATAGGCAGCCTCGTTCAAGGAGCACTTGCCCTACGTTTTCAGTGAACAATTGAAAACCGCTCTAAGTTTTTGTTGTATCTTGAGATTCCATTTTGAACACGGGTCTATGTGGAATCCAAACGTATTTTTCATACTCTTTTGATGCTACGTGTATTCTTTTTAGAAAGCCTTCTTTTTCTTACTGAAAGAATACTTTGTTAAAATCTTTATGCAGATTTTTACGTTCAAGAGTCTGCACTATTAACTGAAATATATTTAGGGCTACTTTATAATTAGATGAAACAAAACTGATTTTGTCCTTATACCACGGGAGATCCACATAATATTCGTCGTTTTTAATTCAATAGATTCCTTGAATTCCTCTATTTTTTTCTGTCATAAGAACTTATATCCACTTCCGTAATAGCTAAATCTACTTCTAACATGTGCTCTACATTTGTTTCTACTAGAGACATATCAAAGGTTTCAGGTATGTTATCAGTGTAGATGCGTTTTGGATTTAATACAAAATGTACTTCTCGCTCAGAACATTTGGCTAACTCATTTACGATAGTATGATAATTGTTTTGACTAACTGAAGTCTTAGAATTTACTGGTTTTATCTGATGATCATATAGAAAATGATTAAATCTCTCCACATGGCGCTATATAACTCGGTAATTCCTATGCTAAGCCCCTCGTCCATTTAAAGAGTTTGGTAGAATGCATGAATATGTCGACACCTATTAATCCTAAGATATCGACCTGGCCATGTTTATTTCTTGAAAAGAATAATCTTTTGTTCAAACTGATTAGATTTTTCTCAATTGAATCTAATTCATTAATTTTTAAGATATCAAATTCGCTATCAATTAATACAGGCAAAGGGAGTTGCCTCCCCTTCTCCATCTCAATATCCAGTACAATTTGTTAGTTTGTCCTAAGTAAATTTTAACTTGAAAATCCACTTTTTAACATGCTATCGGGGGCTATTTAGCCATTTAATTTTTTTTTTTTTTTTTTTTTTTGTTGAAAATTATGTACGCTGACTACCGGTGTCTAATAAGCAATTGACCATTGTCCTTTCCCAACTGTAGAGGCAGTCTGAAAGCGGCCATTAGGTTCTACGAATCGTCCCGGCGGTGATTTAACGTGACCACCGATTTATATAAGAGTTAATCCACAACGCATGATTTCCAGAAGAAAGAACTAAAGGTTTTAAAACAAACATAACATTGTATTTATTTGTGTGTTGATGTACATGCGTAGAAGTTTTGATGGAGTTATGTCTCTTAGACTGGAAATATTTAGATGGATTAATTATTAAACTGTAGTTTTAGAAGAATAAAGTTCTTGTTGCATGTTTGGAAATGTTCTGCATGTTTGTAATGTAGATTGGAAGAGTTCGTAAGAATTCGTAGGAGTTCGTATGTACGTGAATGCGTGAAATATTATTTAACGTCTGACTGCATGGTCGCGACGATGTAGATTCTGTCGAGAAAAATTGTTTAGCGCGACATAATGAACTGGCCTTCTTAGCAGCAGATTTAGCAATTGATTTAATTTTAATATTCCACATTATGTCAGTGGAAAATGTGAGATCAAAAAGGCACAGTGAGATGTTCTCCTTGAAGTTAGCATCAGCCATACAAATGGAAGGTAAAAAAAATTCTTGAAGACGATTAAAAAAGAAGTTTCATTTTAGAGGTGTTAAAAATGTACCGCCAAGAACTTCTTAAAAACATAAAAAACAGATTTTAAATAACTTAAATGTCTTCTTTGAAGTTAAATTTTGGTTTTATTGGTAAATTTGCTTTTTAACGCCCGCGCTAAATATCTCTTAAAATTTTCCCAAATCGTCATAATTCCGTGTAAATGTACATGCTGAACTCCAATTAACAATTAAATTATGAAGAAACCTCACCGTTTTGGAGTTATCGGCAAGAAAAAATCGGACTCCTTGTTGGTCATTCGTCCACCATTACTGCCATAATGTACAGTAATTTAGTGTGGGGTACATATATATTTTGGCCTATTTACTTCTTTCACAGATTTTCGGTGCAAAAAATCACTACGCATTATCGTAAAGCAATTTTATTTTTTTTTGTAAGTGTAGTTTTATTTATAACAGAAAACATTAAACAAAAACAAATTCAATAATACAACAAACCTTTTTTTCTGTGTAGAATAGCAATGACAAATTAAAAGAACAAATTAAATAATACAATGAAGCATTTCTTATATTTTAAACTTGGTCAAGTAGAAACGAAATAAGGGTTGATTGTATTATTTAAAGTTTTTTTTTTTAAATTTGTCCCCTTTTCTACACAGAGAGAAGCCTAACCCAAACCCTAAACTTAACCCGGTTTATTGTATTAGTTAATTTTTTTTTTAATTTGTCCCCTTTTCTACACAGAAAGAAGCCAAACACAACCCCTAACTCTAAACCTAACTCTAAACTTAACCTATAAACATACAAAATAAAAAAAATGCTAGAAACGAAATAAGTTTTTATTATATTATTTAATAGGTTTTTTTTTGTTTTTTCAATTTGTCCGCTTTCAATTTAAAAAAAAAAAAAAGCTTTATTGTATTATTTAATTTGTTCTTTTAATTTATTTTTTGCTTTACGGTAGTGCATAGTGATCTTTTGCACCGAAAGTCTGTAAAAATAAATTAGGCCAAAATTAATGCTTTTCAATGAAATATATGTAATAAACTAAATTACTGTACATTATGGCAGTAATAGTGGATGAATGACCTACAAGAAGTCCGATTTTTTCTTGTCGATAACTCCATAACGGTAGGTTTCTTCATAATTGAATTGTTAATTCGAGTTCAGCATGTACATTTACACAGAATTATGACGATTTGGGAAAATTTTAATAGATATTTAGCGCAGGCGTTAAAAAGCAAATTTACCGTTTTAATTGAGAGATAATAGCTTAAAGCTGACCCATATTAAAAGAAAAATTAATTTCCGTATGTATTTTTTTTTTTTTTTTACATTTTCAAAACATTAGCATGTTCACTTGTCACTCATCACACAGCCATTACTGACGAAAAATGTAAACAATAAATTTAAAAATTTCTTAAAAAATCCAGTGTTTGTCTTAAAGATGTTATCGGCTCAGCCCTCCTTCCGTGAACGGCTGCCTCAAACCTTTTCTCTTCCTCTTTTCTTCATCGTCATTGCTACCCTTTGAGCAACGACCCAATGCTTTTCAACATTAAGGCACCTGACCGTTTTGAATGGACACCTATTTAAATTGGTTTGACGGTTGGCATTTGCCGCCAATCAAAAGTCACGTGACTTATTGTATTCCCGCTAATAAATATCCACGTGCGGACAGACGATCTGCGGGCATCGAGTCGAGAAGAAGCGTTTCCCGTCTCTCTCTTCACCATACGGCTCAAACACCAAGACTTCGGTAATAGACCTTTGATAGTCAACTTCTTTGCCTGAAGCTACCTTCACCATACTTGACTTGATCCTAGCCCAACCTTTCCGGCTTTCCTATAAAATACGAGATTATCTTCCAAGAAAAGAAAAGCAACAAGCATTTGTCACGAACTCTTCCAGGATCTCCACTTGTCGATCTAAATATTTACGGGTTATTGAATTTCTTTTTCATATAAACGACGTTACACTTGTTCGTATAGTGAAAACCAAAAACGATCGCTTATTGATTATAATGAAATGCAAAGGATTAAGAAAGAAAAGGGAGTGAATTGATTACAGCCGTTGATAACAAAAAAGAAGTACAAGCAACTTCCCTTAGTAATCAATAAAAAAGGGGGGGATCTAAGGGACGGAACTTTTTATATTGCTTTCAAAATTTCTGGTTTTTCATTTTCCTTTTGTCATTGTTTTAAGTTTAAAAATAAAACACGCGCCATTGGTAGTAAGAATTTTACGTTTTTTTTTTGGGGGGGGATGGCTTTAAGGTTAACGTGAAAACAAAAATAGAATAAATTTGACTCATTTCACGTTCTCACTGTAATAATTTAACAAATCAAATTAAGAAACCAAGACATTAAAAATCTCAACTCGCATCATAATGCATTTTTTTTTTCATGTAAAACTTTGCTCGTTTACGGTATCTGTTTTTCTTTCTGCTTTCAAAGTTCATTGAAACCAGTTTAATAGTTCCTCCTTGAATTTTTTTTATTAACTCATGAGGCTACTTAAAATTTAAAAAATTTTTCAAAATTCTCAAAAAAAAAAATACCCCACAAAAATTCTGCGATCTTTCCATGATCACTACATTATTTTTATTTTTTTTTACCAAAAAGATTTCCTGCAGAGCATTTTAACATTTATTTTAAATTATAAATTTGTTGATACTGTATCTTTATTGCAGAAAACATTTTTTATCGTTGTAAAAATAATAATTTTTAACGACATTTCAAACAAAATACATACATTTTGTTTTTGATGTTGATGCATGCTGCTGCTATTAATTTAAATAATAGAATTGTTGGCAACCGTTTGTCTAACCCAGTTTTTCTATTCTCCAAGTTGTCACTGCTGGTAAGTGAAAGTAATGAACAAAAATAGATCGGCTGCATATTGTCGCCACATACATAACGATGATTAGGTAACTAAGCAACCACTGCAACTATAACATAACAATGTCACTTTTATTGTAGGTAGAATACGTGTTTTTAATAAAAGGGATGGATAATTGAATTCACTAAAAGGAAATGAATTTTTTTATATATTTTTGTTTAATAAATCTCACCCATTATATATGTAGCCATTAGAAGGAATTAAATGTTGACATATTTACTCATTAGATCTTGTTCAAATAATACAAGGCCCAAAAGTCACTTAATGTAGATGGTTACTAAATGCTGTTGTTGTAAGGTTGTGCAAGGAGGGAGTAAGAGTTGCATATTATGATGATATTTTAATCAATAATGGTTGTCCATAGACTTGAAGAGGTTAAGATTATAGTGACGAGGGAAGCATCCCCTCGGGAACCCGTTCCACATTGCAACAGTTCTTGGAAAGAAGCGGTCTGAGTGGAACTTAGTCCTTACTAATGGAACCTGAAGTGAAGGAGGATGAGTCGATTCAGTGTACGTGCCATGGCGGGCTTCGGCTGTGAAGGTCACGACTGGTGGAGCCAAATAATGTAGTTCACACGAACATCTGCCATGAAAAGAGAGTGAGAGTAATAAAAGGCTAACATCGTTTCACCTGTGGGGAAGGGGTTGAAGAATGGAGAACATTTCATCACCCACAAGATGGTGTAAACGCTTTTGAACTTAGTCGAGGCTGGAAAGTGATGGTTGCTCTACTCCGGCCCAGATATAATATCAGAGGTTACATAAAAATGTAGTATTTTTAATTTTAAGACTGTTGTCAGGTAAATCTTTACGTCCTAATAGAAATATATACGCTACAGTTAAAAAGTTTTGAGGAAACTCTTAGTAATTTTTTAAATTGACCAAAAAGGTAGTTGTCTTGTATTTTAAATAAGAGAAAATTATTATACATGGTTGCAAAAAAAGGAGACATGATTTATTATTATATAAATTTTATTATGACAAAAAAATCATGATTAAATTTTGCTCTCGTCAAAATATCCTCCTTTAGCCTTGATTACAGCAGCACAAAATTTTAACATTCGTTGCAAAAGTTTCTCAAAGTATAAGTTTGATAATTGATTCCATTTCTTTTTCAATGACTCTAAGAGCCTCGTTTTCATTTATTTTTTTCACCCTTTTGTCAAGTTCATTCCATGCTAATTCTGGGAGTGGCTTCAAACTTTTGAGCTTTAGTGTATATATATATATATATATATATATATATATATATATATATATATATATGTAAGCAAATATATGGATATAGATCAAACAGTATGAAGAAAAATATACTGAAAAAAACAAACAAATACATCAGTCAAAGGCACACTTTCAGCTGCCCCTGATAATTCTTTTGGTCGCAACTTTCTACCAAATAACTATTTGACCGAACGTATCTCTCATAATCTAAATGCATTAAAAATTAGAACTACTATATTACCTACTAGGACTATCCGCAGTTTATTAAATAGCACCAGCAACAAACGTATTACATCCGATGCTTGCATCTACCAAATCTCATGCAACAACTGTGACTTAAAATGTAAATGTGGGTAAAACATGTAGGTCCGTAAATTCTCGTGTTTTCGAACATAAACGAGATATTCGCCTCGGAAATTTAAACAATGCTTTAGTTGTACACACAGCTAAAGCTGATCATAATTTCGATTTTGATTCTGTGAAGATTTTAAAATATTTTCATAATAAAAATCTTAGGCGGATTTATGAAGCAGGCATAATATCTATCTCACGCACGGTGAACACTAGACATGGCTTCTTTAATATTTCCCCTTTTCTAGCAAGATTAATGCTCGACAAACGTACATATAAGTTTTAGATCAAAATAAAATTCTTTTCGTTTTTCATTCAAAATACTCAAAATTTAGGAATACGTTTTCATAACATCGCCCACTTGACGACGACGTGATCATATTTAAACGGAACGCTGATCTTATAAAAGATTTCAGTTATCTGTTTGGATTGGTATTGCTTTTATGTCCATCATCTTTTTCATGTTGAATTGTATATGGTCTATGTTAATTATGTTTCATGAATATGTCCTGAAGATGGTCTATTAGACCGAAACGTCCGATGTTGACATTAAACATTAAAACAACATAATCGCATATTAGGATTTTTGTTTATTTTTTTCAGTATATTTTTTTCATATATATATATATATATATATATATATATATATATATATATATATATATATATATATATATATATATATAATACAATACATAATTTCTGTGAACTTTGATTATTTTTGCTTGCTTGTATGTTTGCCACCGTGAACATGCAGCTTTATAAAGTACTGAGGGGAAAAGAAAGATGTAAATGTATTATCGTGTAGGAAGGGAGAGAGAAGGAAATGGTGTGTATACATGAATTGACAGTGAGACCAAAAGAAAAAAAACTCTCTCTTTCCACGCTCTCACTTTCCACCACTTTTTCTTTCCACATCTCTCTTTCCCCGTCTTTTTCTTTCCACATCTCTCTTTCCCCGTCTTTTTCTTTCCACGTCTCTCTTTCCACCTTCCCGTGATGGCGTGCGTGATTATTTATATTTCAGCTTTCTTTAATTTGAATATTTAAAAAATATTTTTGCTATATTTTAAAATATTTTGAAGTGAATATAATTTAAAAATGTGATTTGTTTATACAATAAGTATTTTTATTTCGACTTTCTTCAAACAGACAATTTTTTTTTAATATTGAAAGCAACTTTAATGTTTTATAATCTGAACGTTCAGTGACTCGTTCAGGGTCACGGGTAGTATAATACTAAAAGTCTTTGAGTTGGGTGTACGTCGGCTGAAAGTGGAAAGAAACTTAAATCATTATGTACCCGCATAATGATTTAAGTTTCTTTCTCCTTCTCTCTTTCCACCTCTCTCTTTCCTCTTCTCCCTCTTTCCACCTCTTTGTCTTCTCACCTCTCTGTCCATCTTTCTCTTTTCACATCTGTGCCTTTCCACCTCTCTCTTTCTACACCTCTCTCTTTTCACCGCTCTCTTTCCAAGCTTTCTCTTTCCACCACTCTGTCTTTTTAATCTCTCTCTTTCCACCTCTCTCTCTTTCCACCTCTCTCTCTTTCCACCTCTCCCTCTTTCCACCTCTCTCTCTTTCCACCTTCCCGTGATTGCGTGCATGCTTATTTATATTTCAGCTTTCTTTAAAAAAAAAAAAAAACAGTATTTTAAATATTTCAAATGTATTTTTGGCATATTTAAAAAGTATTTTTTGGCATATTTAAAAATTATTTTCCAATGAATATAATTTTAAAATATCTTTTGGTATATTAAAAAAATACTTTTAAGTTAGTCTGATTTTAAAATATTTTAAGTGAATAACGTTTTAAAATGCGAGTTGTTTATACAGTAACTATTTTTATTTCAACTTTCTTCAAATACACAATTTTTTAATGTTGAAATCAACTTCAAAGTTTTATAAACTGAGGCGTCAGTGACCCAACGGGTCACGGGTAGTCTAATCGGAGTGACTCGAGCTGATCAGTCGGATGGTCATGTCAAGACTTAATACCTATATAATTAAGCTTGATAATGCCTCAAAAACCGATCACGTGACGATCTAACACCCAACGCTTCGTTATTTTGGAATGGTAGAAGACAGTGATTGAGGGTCAATCGAGTCGAGAAGAGAAAGAAACTTTAGCACTGTTTCATATTAAGGCAACAGGTTTTTCGGGTACTGAAGGACGACATTAGCAGGGACACAAAGTCCTTTCACAACACGAGTATACTGGTCGATGTATCCCTGTGTCAACCAATGCGAATGGATTTAACCCCTTTGATAAATTTTCAATAGAAATTGGATCCCACGCTTAAACAGAATCTCTACGATTGATTCAGAAATAGAATCTTTCTGTACACCTGTGAATCTTGGATATTAACTACAACGTAGTATCCAAGCGTTAGAAATGAGATGCTGTAGAATCACCGTAGGCATCTAATTAGACAACATCAAGACATCGTGAGACACCAGTAAATAAGAGACAAACAGGTCTGTTGAAAGACCTCGTAACTACCGTCAAGACGTGACAGTTGAAATGATATGGACACACCACGAGAACCATTAATTGTTCTATTACTATCCTACAGGGTATCACTCTGGGTAAAAGAAGAAACAGTCGAGGGTAATAATTGACATAACATCACTGACGGACTGGAAGATTATGCACAGAGACTCAGACATTGATATGTAACCGAGACATGTGGAGGGAGATAGTCAGGTACTCAACTACGCAGAAACCCTACGACCACAACTAGTTATATGACTGATGATGACTGGTGACATGATCTATGCAATAGCAGCACCAAATTTAAAACACGTATTATTTAATTTATATTTTTTCCAATTTTCTTGATATTTCTGTTTGATATAAATCTTTACCAAGTCTTTTAACTAAGACCTGAGTTAATGAAAAGTTTTTATTTGAAAGTTATTCAGTATATTATTATTATTATTTATTGTATGGTGTTGTTTTTACGGCCCGTGAGAGGTAATCAACTTACTGTAAATCTGAAGAACTCATCCTTTCTTCTTAAAAAGTAATCTTCTTCCATCACAACAACTGCCTCTTCAATTCTGGATCTTAATTGAAAAAAATCAGCCATTAGGGTTTTTCTTTCTTTGATCTAATGCAGGTTGGGTTATGTCCCTTTTATATGATGAAATTTCGATCTCTCAGGACTTGATACTTTGTCTTTTTTTATAGCACATCTTCTATTTTGTTGAGTCAGACATTATTAATGGAGATTTTATTTGTCTTCCCATTAACGCAGATGGGCTTTGCAATCTGTCTGTATTTGGAATCGTTCTATAACTAAGCAGTAACCTTGCTATGTCTATAGTAGCTCTACTTGGGGAAATCCTATTTCTTCAAATTCCATTTTTATTGTCTGTAATCCTAGTAGATTGTGGCTGATACTGTAAGTATTTTGTAAGGGAAGCAGCCAATCCGCCTCAAACCAATGACAACAATCTTCGCAATATTTCAGGTGCATTATCTGATACCAATGTTTTAGGGATTCCATTTCTAAAAAAATATCATTTTTAATATTTGAACATGAGACCATGCTTTCGTATCTTTAGGCAATGAGTTGTTCTGCTTTGTCGAAAATTCTTTATTTCTGCACATCTTTTTGTACATAATTTTTATATCATTTTTAATAACCAGGACACAATGCCTCCAATCTTAATCTCTCCTGGTAAGCCATTGTCAAAAAAATGCACATCATCGTGTACACTTTTTAAAATATCTTTTCTTACTGTTTCTGGTGTTACTAAATCAAATTATTATTTTTTTAATCAATTCCAGCTATTGTATAAAACCCCACACATGCAGTTAGGGGTAAATTATTCAGTTATCTTATATTTATGAAATATATCAGCCAAGGTTTTCAATTGGCTGTAATTAAATCAATCCTCTATAGTCCAATCTTGAGTTCCCAGTTTCTCAAATTTGCAGAATCTGCTATATTCTCTTAATCTGTGAAGATATTGTAGAATTGATTCATTTTGTTTCTGTTTAATAGACAGAAAATTGGTTCTTTCTGCTATGATAAGTTTCTTTTTAGGTGGTAAATTTCTTTTTTAACATTTCTGAATTTCGACGAAAGTCAAATTCTCCAATTATTTGGGGTATGCCATAACAGAAATGTTAATTGTAACCCCCCTCCCTCTCTCTCTCTCCCTCTCTCTCTCTCCCTCTCTCTCTCTCCCTCTCTCTCTCTCTCTCTCTCCCTCTCTCATTGCTGTATTTCAATTTTTAGACTTAGACTGGGTTGCAAATCACCGAATCCAAAATTTGGTTCGTCCACACAACCTAAACATCCTCCAGACGATGCCATTTTGTTGTATAGTGTTTTTCTATGACACGTGATCAGTAATCAACTTCCTCCCATTTGACTTTTTACTCCTATAAGCAACATATGCAAATAAGTAAAATCCTATTTACCAATCTCATTGCATCATTATTATTATTATTAACGATGAGCGTCTAGCTGAGTGGAGAACAACAAATGTATGAGCAAATTTAAAAGAAATCATAAGAGTTCATTTTGTGTTAAATGCATTTTATTTCATCTTTAAAATATACAAACAGAAACAATTTCTTTGAAGAACAATTTTCCTTTTTTTAATATTAAAAGTTTGAAATGAGAAAAAAACAGATTGTCTCTGTGGTAAAAATAGTCACTTGAAATAAAATGGAAGGAAATTATTGATAAAAATAAATACTATTATTTGCCAGTAAAATTCAATAAAGCTTTGCTTTAACTTTTATATAACCTCTTCAATTTTGGCCATTTGCTACCACCTGTGCCGAAAGTAAAATATACTTGAGCCTTTAAAATATTTTTAGCTTGTCCATAAGTCGTTGCGAATGTCGATTATCATTTGTTAACATTTCCAAACTTAAATATAAGAAGAAACAGAGACATGTTGAAAATTGTTGTTAAAAAGATAAACTTGGTGTAAATCCTCTAAAACGGCCAGATTTTCGATCAAACCCTAATTAGATATCTCCCGTTTATCAACGATCTTCTTGTCTTTTTAGAAGGGTTGATCGAAAAAGCTGTCAACTTTTTAACAGTCATTTTAAATATATCTCCGCGTCTGTATGCAATATTTGCAGACGATTATCTACAACAACAAACACATTATTAAATGCTTACAATTTTTCTGTGACCAAGGTAACACTGTCATTCACTAACCGGCAATGCAACAGAAAGTGTTAAAAAAGAAACTAACTGACAATATATAGATGTTTGATATGTTATAGCGTTCAGCATAATTTAATTACTAGTAGACGTAAGATATAACAGGTTTCAGGCATTTAACAAAGTGTCCAAAGTGACACAATTTTCAAATCTGCCACGGAGCCAGTTCCAAAACGAGGCTTATCCTAAAATGAGCCGAAATAGGGAAAATAAAATTTACTCTCAAAGCCTATCACGTGACCCTTCGTTTGAAAGCATGTTTCTATGGAAATGAAGAATATACAAGTCGAAACATGAAAAAGTTAAATTTCCTACCAGAACGTCTCAACGCAAGAGTGGGACAAAGGAGAGATGTCTAGATTAATATATAAAAATCAGTATAAATCCATGTTTCAAACTTTCTCAGACTCAAGAAAAAGAAGAAACTTCTGTTGGTGATACAATGGTTGATTTCAATTTATTTGATTCGATTTTTCATTTATCGAATGAGCATCTTGATTTTTTACACAATGGACACGAGTTTTGTTGGTGTGTTATTGTAGCTCAACATTAACTGCCAAAATGTCGTCTTATTAAACTTAGTGTTATCTTTAAGGACATTTGAACATTATATTCTTCATCGGTATAATATAAGCTTTCAAACAAAGGGTGATGATGAGAGAGTAATATTTCTACAATTTTCGGAATTTACCTGATTTGGGGATATACCTCATTTTTAGACTTGTTCCATGACACTTTTTAAATTGAACAATTGAGATCTATGTTTTATTTAGATTTTCATTTTTAGATGAATTGGTCGCTTTTGGAAAGAGTCCCAAGAAAAAATGAGCCACTATTTAATTTTTACCCCTCCCCGTTTAATGAATTATTTTTGGATATTTCGTATAGCCTCACAAATGGATAGTCATGGATGTCGTGTATGTTTAAAGGTGCAATTATTTTGATTCTACAGAATGACAAAAGGTTCATTGATGTATCTGCTGTTACTACTTTAATGAAGACATCAATAATGATATGTATGGAAGCCACGCTGTGAAATAATTTTAAGAATCCATAGACGGTTTAATACAAGAGTGAATTCAATACCCATTAGGTGTCACCAACCTATAGTTTCCTTCAGATGAATCTAAACTCGATACGTA